TTTTAATTAAAAAAAAATATTTATTCTAAAAAGATACTTTAAAAATAGTAAGAAAGTCGTCCTTCGTTTGGGGTGACTTTCTTAATGCTTTTTAAAACAAATTTCTAACATAACAATTTCTAGTTTTAAAATTTTTGTACTAAAAAATTACTTTAGAAAATAGTAAAAAAACCGTTTCAAATGAAGCCTTATTCAATTGATAAAAACATATAACAAAATTTAAAAAAAAAAATCTAATTATATTTATATTCAAGATAACAAAAAAGGAATAATAATCAGAATATTCGTATAAATCCTCCCCTATTAATCGAAAAACAAAACAAATGTCTCTCCCTCCCCTCCTTCCTCACCACCATTAATCCTTCAAGAATAACAGAATATCTGACGTGGCAAACCCTGGCCCCACACCTCACTTTTGACCCCACAAATCATCGAATATGCTCTCCTCAGATTCTCTTTCCCCTCCCACTCCCCCTATTTAACCCTTCTGACCTCCCACAAAAATGTAAATCAAAGCTCTGAATAAAAAAAGAAAACTTTTTTCTGGCTCTCTGATCCTTCGCCGCTAATCAGGCCAGGAGAAGGAGGAAAGAAGAAGATAAGACCAATGGCGAAGGAGCATCTCCAGGTTCTCTCCGCCCTCGACGCCGCCAAAACACAATGGTACCATTTCACCGCCATCGTCGTCGCCGGCATGGGCTTCTTCACCGACGCCTATGACCTGTTCTGTATCTCCCTCGTAACCAAACTCCTCGGCCGCATCTATTACCACGTCGATGGATCCCTTACCCCCGGCTCTCTTCCTCCGCACATCTCCGCCTCCGTCAACGGCGTTGCCTTCTGTGGGACTCTCTCCGGCCAACTGTTCTTTGGTTGGTTAGGAGATAAGCTTGGGCGGAAGAGAGTGTATGGGATGACTCTGTTGCTTATGGTTATTTGTTCGATTGGATCTGGATTGTCGTTTAGTCATAAGTCGAGTTCTGTGATTGCGACTCTCTGTTTCTTCCGGTTCTGGCTTGGCTTTGGAATCGGCGGCGATTACCCTCTTTCCGCCACCATCATGTCGGAGTACGCGAACAAGAAGACTCGCGGCGCTTTTATCGCAGCCGTGTTTGCGATGCAGGTAATGATCTTAAACGACACGAACACGTTAATATTTTTTTTTTTGGATTTCAAGTTTTAATATATTTATCTATGTTATTTTTTAATGTTTTAATTATTCTTTTATATCTAA